GAATCTGAAAAAGCTGGAGTGAGGCAGCAGGGAAATATGTGAGCCCTGGAGGCTAGCTGGTTTCCTTTGTATTCAGGTATGGAGTATTCAAAAAGCAAATTCGGGGTGTTTTTTTTTTTTTTTTTTTCAGCACAGAGAATCTTTTGGCTGAAACCAAATGTCCTGTGTGTGGTTGGGTCAGTTTCTGGAGGCACTGATGTTTGTGGAAGATGAAGCTCTGAAACTAGCCCTGTTGTATACAGAGTTGAGTCCCTTTGATTGTCACAAAGTCAGGAATCAATGCCTGCTTTGCTGTGCAGCAAGACCAACTAAATGTATCAGCTCTTTGACTCTTAACATGGGCAAGCATGTATTCCATGTTTCTGCACTGCCCAAAACAGTGGCATCCCAGTCTACTCTGAAAACAAGATTTAGTACATGACCAAGATTATTTCATGACCAAGTTTACAAAGAGTTCCCAGGCTCAGAACTGCTCATAGCCAGAGGCCACATCTTCTTGAGATCTTATAAGGGCCCTGTAAGCTTTTGGAGGAGCAGCCCTGTGCAAGTCCATGCCCTTGATCCCTCGGCTGCCCCAGGCCAGCATGCAGCCCCAGGTACCAGAGCAACTACTCTCCTCTGCTCCCCTCATTGCCTGGACAAATGGGAAAGTTACCCTGGGGTAGGCTGACAAAGGAACTTGCAGTGCTCCAGCTGCTTGATAAGAATTGCCTAGCAGCGTGTCATCATGGGGCAGATCTCACTGTTTTCTCACTGCTTTCCTGAAGACTTCAGGGAAGTAGCATGAGCATGGGCAGGCACACAGAGTAGATGACACCATGCTGGTTCACATCCTGCTTTAGACCAGATAGATTAGGTCTGTGTTATTACAGAGAAGAAAACATCTTAAATATCACGACGTTATGGCAGATCGTGACTCCTTTTAATAGAAAAGAGTAAGGTCTTCAAAATCTCTCCTTCAGAAATGAAAGCCTGGAAGAGCTATATCCAAAATTTGTCCGGACAAGATCACGTTATTGTCTTGACCTCTTTTTAATACTTTCTCAATTTTTTCCTTCTAAACCTCCACCATTAAGCAATACATCAGATGACGCTTTACTTGTACGTCTGAACTCTTGACTTCAACAAGAAAAATAAAGCTACAATCAATAAGCTGAAAACAAAACTGAGAAGTAAGACATCACTTGTCTTTCTTATGTCAGCTGCAATAGTAACAATAGTGCACATTATTTCATCAAAGCTTGCATACATTACATCATACCAATGCCAGTGGTGGGAAAAGAAAGAAGAGACCGTATCAAAATATTAGTCAGGCACACGTGCAAGGGGAGAAATCAAATAAAAAAGAAATAAAATGGTCAGGAGTGGTGAAATTAAAATTTTACAAAAGATTGCCTGTCTGTAAACAGTAAGGCAAGGAGTGATGCCGGAGAAACTGATCATCATTTAATGAGCTATGTAGTATTGCTTCTTTTTAGTTTGCTGGGGCAAGAGATGCTCTGGTGTGAATGGAAGAAAGGGCTGCGCAACCATGACTGCATTTCCTGACATGACAAGACATACAGAACCATATGGTATTCCCAGGTAGATCCACCACCTGTACTCATTGGAAGATGGCTAATGATGTGCCTCGAATTGCAACACTATTCACTCTAAGACACCAATTATAGATTTTGTCTTAATATTCTGACCACATCTCCTACAAGATTGGGCTTTTAGGGGAATTCAGCCAAACCACTCAACTGTCCTATAAACACACTTGCAGAAGCTGTAAGCTGTTCTGCGTGCTCTCTACACTCTATTGCAGGTGATATCCAAGGGAAATTTTGAGCCATTTAAGCAGACCAACTTTTTAAAATAAAATGGAACTATAGTTATTATCAAGCCTCCAAGTAGTGGTAACATTTTCAATAAAATAATTAAATAAACAACATAAAACTGAGAGATTTCAGTTCCTGTTCCTCACTACTTGGCATTCAAAGCACATCCTGTAGCATTACGTGGTTTCCTACTATACTGTGCTATGAGGAGATATAGACCTTTTTCTAAATGTTATATTTCCTAATTCTGAAAACAACATTAAATCCTTTTTTTTTTTTCAAATTATGTGATGGGCATTGCTTTGGTCTGACAAAATTTCTGGATAATATTGTTTTTCTTCAAGGAGTAATATTTTCATACCAAAGAGTATTTTGCAAAATCTGCAAGATTCTTTAGTTATGTGATGGGAATTATTTCGGTCTGGACAAATCTCTGGATAATTTTGGGGTATTACTACTGATCGTTTAGTTCATGGTGAGTGTTTACAGAAGTACAGACATTCTTGCTTCCTAGTGTATTATGAAAAATACTGCTTCCTATAGCATTTGCTTTAAAAGCAGCTTTCTATACAATCCATTTCAGTTGCTTGTTCAGAACACTGTATCAGTTTCCAAACTCATGCTTAATGTGCTTTTATATCACAGAATCATAGAATGGCCTGGATTGGAAAGGACCACAATGATCATGTAGTTTCAACCCCCTGCTATGTGCAGGGTCGCCAACCACCAGACCAGGCTGCCCAGAGCCACATCCAGCCTGGCTTTGAATGCTTCCAGGGATGGGGCATCCACAGCCTCCTTGGGCAACCTGCTCCAGTGCTTCACCACCCTCTGAGTGAAAAACTTCCTCCTAATATCTAACCTAAACCTCCCCTTAGTCTTTGGGGTCTTAGTTTAAAACCATTCCCCATAGTCCTATCACTATCCACCCTCATTAACAGACATACCCCCGGTACACTGAGTACTCAACTCAACATTGAGTACTCAACTCAGAGCTCATTGGCAACATAATTCTGACATAAAAGCATACATGTGTTACACTTAGATCCACAAAATGACCAACAGTACTTTTTCTTGTAACCTTCTTTTTAAAATCCTTACTGATTATCAGTGAGATTAATGCATGTATTTTTTTATTTGAAGAGCAAATTTCTCCATTGCACTTTATACCTGTGTTCATAGAATAAATTGAAATCTTGACTTTTTATACAAACATATTTGTGTTTGAAAATATTTCAACTGTTTAGCTATTGCAAAAATGGCTCTTAAGCATTGTTATCAATTATTAGTATTTCATTAGCTCTCTTCCCAGAAAACTGTAGTGATCAGAAACAGAGATTTTATTTGCACAAATGAATCTAATCTTACTACCTTTTAGGAAGACTTGAGGCTTTAAGTTAGCTTTGGTAGAACCTATACACCCTAATATTTTAGTTCTAACAAGAGATGAGTAACTTTATGCATCTCAGTCAAGATTCTGCCAGTCACTGGCATCCAGGCTGATCACTAATGGATTTCTTCATTCCTAACATGTGTTCTGTGAGAGGTGAGAAATGGCATGCTGAAGAAGTTGACCTGGAAATCGACATCTACAGCTGGATGGTCAGGAACAAACATTGCTTTTCCTATTTCTTACCTAAAGGCCTCCACATTTAGCTTTGAGTTTGGTCTTCAGCTGTGGCTACTCTCTCGCTGTTCTTCCTGTTAATGCATTAAAACATAGCAAAAAAGAAAAATTGTCCAAAAAGTATTTTACACTCCAAATCATGTGAACTCACTCCATTTCTACAAAAGTATCTTTGATGTGTTACCTCATGTGCTAGCAAACAAGCTTTTTACTTGTGATCAGAGCAAGTAATCCCCATAACACCTTTTCAGGAAACTGTGATCAGCCTTCTCTTGCAAACTCTGCTCTCCCTTCCAACCCTTTTCTGACTCCGTGGTTTTTTTTTCCCCCACATGGCTAGTGAGGAAGAACAAGGATGACCAGTTGTGATGATTACCCATCAGCTGTGATGGATGCCCCACCCCTGGAGGCACCAAAGGCCAGGTTGGATGGGGCCCTGGGCAGCCTGAGCTGGTGGGAGGCAGCCCTGCCCATGGCAGGGGTTGGGACAGAATGGATCCCTTCCAACCCAAACCATTCCGTGATTCTATGACACGTTTCAGTGCAAGACACAAATTGACTGCTAACAACACGTTCTGTACCAACTGTAATTCTTGTCTATCTTTAAGTGCAACATAAGTTTAAGTCAGCTCTATCAGAACCAGGTTAATGATGTGCAGTGTATCAGTGGTGTGCAGATAGGGTGAAGGAGTGTTGGCTCAAACACCTGAAGCTAGTCCTCCTCTTTGCCTAGGGCTAGCAATGGAAATAGCATTTAGAATCACAGAATCAAGAAATGGTTTGGGTTTGAATGAACCTTAAGGATCATCTAGGTCCAATCCCCTGCCGTGGACAGTGTTACCAACCACTAGGCCTACAGTCTTGCCTAATACCTGAGTTTCTTGCTCCTCATGGACAAAATATTTGGTGTTTCCAGTGTGACTCGAAAACCAAAACAAAATACAAATATTAACGCAACGATCATTGTTAGTGACCAACACTGAAGCATGCATTTGCAGCACAGAGCTTTGTGCCACGTATCACGGCGGTGACAGGAAGGTGCAGAGGTGGCCCAGCTGGTAGGAGGCTCACAGCAAACACACCAAACACCAGCACCTAGATGGAGCCAGATGCCAAATGGGTTGAATGGGAACCATGGCTTTCAAACATCTGACTACAGCTACAATGCCTTTATCAGAGTGCTTTTAAAGCCAACTTATATCTTCCATCTTCTAAGCGTGACCATGTGCCACCTCAAATATTGCTTACGGTCATTTACTAATTAGATAATAATTGTCAGGGTTGGAAAAGACATCTAAGATCATCAGTCCAACCTTACCAACAATAAACCTAATCTCTTTTGAAAGTCATTTTGAAACGTCATTTGGCAACCGAGCCCCAGCGACCCGGGGCAGCTTTCCATCGGCTGGCAAGATTACACAACCCTGTCCCAACTCCACCCGGACGGGGCTCCCCCCGCTCCCTTCCCACCTCCAGCTCCAGCCCCGAAACGGCGGGGAGGGCAATGCCCCGAGCCCTGGGCTGGCCTCAGCCAGACCCAGCCCCGCGGCAGGCGGAAATCCCCGGCGGAGGAGGGGGAAGCGGAATGGCCTGACCCGGGCTAGCCGGCAAGGCATAGCGCGGCTCAGCCAGCTGCAGCGATGAAGCGGCGCGGGTGAGTAAGCTGGCCGGGCGCGGGAATCCAGCGGGGGTCCTCGGCAAGGTGGGAGTGACTGGAGGGGTTCGGGGGTCTTGGGGAGCCGGGCAGCCCCGCAGCCCGATGGGGAGAGCGGTGTGTGGGCTGTCAGCCCATCGCGTGTCCACGGTGAGTTGAGTCTTTTACGGAGCGTTTATTTGCTCGGGTGTGGGCGACGGATGAATGGGAGAGGGACCACTGGTTTCGATGGCATGCATTGGTGCTGTCTGAACAGCGGGGGAGTAGCAAAGCGTCACAGACAGTCCATTTGTCAATGAGAGCAAGAGGAAAAGAGATTTTGCTGCTACAGGGGGGGATGAAGCTGTAAGGCATACAGATGGAACAAAAGCCTGAAGTCAGTATTGCAAACATGAGGTCAGCTTTTATCGGGCTATTTTGTGCCAGAACAGCACTGTCTTTTGACTGTGGAATAAGTCGCTCATGAAAAAGCTGAGATGCTGGTAGAAAGAGTTAACTCACTGAGCAAGAATGTATGAAAGAGGAAGTATAACTTTCTCCCATTTCACATGATATTAAAAAAAGAGTAGTAGAAGAAGAAGGTGTGGGAAAAAAAGGAGAAAAACCTTACACTACCCTTAAAACAATAATATTTTTTTAAAAGAGTGATACTGGGGGGTTAGTGTGTTGAACACATGAGCTGCACATCTGTACAGTGCAAAGAGAGATTTCACTGCTCTCTGCAGGCAAGAGCACCTCCCTGTTCCAACAGGAGCTTGGCATGAAGGAGAAGATTTGGGCTGAGGCAGCCCACACAGCCACAGCTGCAAAGTCCTCAAAGAATGAGCATCTGTAGGTCTGTCCAACAGTATATGTAGCATAATCTACTAAAACAACAAATCAGATTTACTCGTATGTATTAAAAAGTGGATTCTGGCTGATTAACTAAGAATTCATTGATATCAGAAAATGCCTTCTATGGGAAATTCCCTGCAGAGTCCCACAACAAGCGATCAATTGTCATTCTCCATTTAAAGCAAATGACTTGCTATATCCAGAATTTCTAACTTGGGTGGGGAACAGCAAAACAAATACAACCTGCGATTAAGAAATACATTCAGGTGAGCTTTGAGGCAGACATTTACAAGCTTGGCACAAGATACACAGATAATCCTGCAGGGGGTGAATACAGCAGAAATACAGCATGAAACCACAGACACCCAAAGTTGCTGCCAGGAACACAAGCAAAGCTGCCTCCTTGGAGTATTTAGTTACACACACGTGGGAGATTTGCACTTCAGGGCTGACTGCAGATTTGCTAAACTGAGTGCTACACTTCTATCTTTCCCAAATATATATAAGCCTTATAAGGGGAGCATTAGATTACTCAGGCTTTATAGGTAAGTCAAATCGGGTTTTCTTTTATCAGCTGTCAGGTGCAGCTCCTCTGGGGAGGTCCCTCATTGTTAACTTCTCCAAAAGAATAGAACACACCAAGCGCTTTCCATCAAAACCTTTGAATGACTCCACATTATCACTGTTTCCTGTTTACGTGTTTTATTGAGGGCAGAAAACACACTGCTGCTTGTAGGGTCATAACTCCAAACAACAGGATGCAAGGCTCTGACCCAAATCTCAGCCTGCACAGCTGCTCGCCTTCCAGTGACCAGGGTACAGCACAAGGATAGTGGGGCCTCCCATCCATCCGGGTGGTTTGCCTTCAGCAGAAAAGATGGGCACAACATCAGCTATTCTGCTGTGGATTCCAATATCAGTGTACTTTGCTTCTATTTGTGGTTTCAGCCACCCACCCCCGGTTATGTTGTTTGCACAAGAACTTTGGCAGCTGTCAAAAATGCAAATGCTTTAAGGGGAATTTGCATAATTGTCTTTGTTACTTAATTTATCCACTTCTACACTACTGAAACAATCAATATTATGCTTATCTTTTGTGTAAACAATCCAGAAACTAACACCTATTTTGCAATATTTCTGTTTGCTTTTTCTTTTAGTTACGGATTTCTGTTACTGTTCCTTCACATCCTGAGAGCTGGTAAGTTGAGAACCCTTCAGCTAAAATGAATTTGCCCTCCTTTGAATTTCTTGGACAAATAAGCAGATTACAATTTAAACACCTGCATGTTTTCAGCAAACTCATGAGAATTCCTCAATGAGATAGATGTTCTTGTGGCACACATCAGGGAATGAGGATCAGTTTCTGCCTGTTTCCATATACAAGGAATGGTAGCAGTTTTACTCAAATTGCTCTGCTTGCTTCACAGGCATCCACACTTATTTATGTCTAACCACCAACAGAAGTCCTTAGAAGTGGATGCTGATAACCAATCTCATGTGCTTGCATCAAGTCAGCACTCGTAATATGCCCTAATTATCCATTACTGTGTCAAGTGCCCAGAATTAGCACTACAGAATCATCTACTACACTTCTAAACTTCGCTTTCAGAATAAAGATAAGGTTAAAGGCTGTCACCTGGTGATACTGAAATATTTCTAGAGTTGTTTCTCCATTCTTCCTTAATGACTGGAAAGCACATAATGTCATCAAGCAAACTTCATGTCCCCAAAAACAGGACAAACTGTACCAGTTTGTCTCAACGAATGCTGACTGGCCCATCCTATAGAAGACCAGTAAAAGAGGTGCTTCCAGGCAATGCTTTTTGCAGCATCACTTTTCCTACTTCTTCAAGGAGTTTCCCCAGGTCTGAGCAACATCCCTGCTGCTATTCAACCCTGCTGCTTCTTCTTGTGCCCAGGAAAGGTCATGGGCCTGGGAGCAGACACAGCTTTCCTCCCCAGCACTGTTTTTAAGCCAGATGCCCAACCCTTCAGAAGTGGGTGAGCTCATTCTGAAACCACTTACTCACCAGAAGAAGAGGCTTCATCTGTCTTAGCTGAGGCCAGGAAAAGTGCACTGAGAGCCAAATATGGTGCTGGCCTATCTCAGGTGGCTCTCAGGGCTATGAGTGTCTAATGGACGTGTCACTAGCTGTATAAGGACATGCTAGTTTATTTGTTCAGAGGGTGACGCCTGTAAGTAATAAAAAACGTTAACAGTATGGACATGCCCACTTTGAGACACACCTGGTTGTTTGTTGTTTGGGGTTTTTTTACCTACCTTTTTTATTTTGGTCTAAAAATAGCAGTAGCACTCTCTTACCTGTATTTCCAGTCCTAGTGATTTTCCTATGGCATTTTTCTTATTCAAACAAAGTGATTATTGATGCATTTGGACTTGAATATGTGTCTGCAGCCAGTTTAGTCTGACTGTCCTCCTTCCATTGGGCTGGGAACAGTTAGACTGATTGATCCGTGGAGAAATAAATAAGCAGAATTCTTTATACTGTAAAAGGTCCCTTTGGAAAATACGTAGACAAATATACACACAGAATTAGTCACTGATGAAGAGGAGCAGGTCAAGAAGAAGGAATGACTGAAGTGAGCATCAGTACTTGTTAGAATACAAATACTGGAATCACTGAATCATTAAATCATTAATGTTGGAAAAGACCACTAAGATTGTCTAGTCCTCTCATCTGTCTGCTGTCACCATGCCCACTGCCCACATCCCTCAGTGCCACATCCACACAGCTCTTGAACACCTCCAGGGATGGTGACTCCACCACCTCCTTGGGCAGCCTGTGCCACTGCCTCACCAGTCTTTCAGAAAAGAACTATTTCCTAGTATCCAACCTGAACCTACCCTGGTACAAACATGAGGCCATTCCCTTTTGAGTCCAATTGTGGTAGAATGTACATGGAAAAAAAAATACTTTTTTTTCATGCAACTTCCCCTTATTCTCCCTCTCTTTTTCTTTTTGTAGTTACTGCGCTGGAGAAGATCTTCAGTAAACCTGGGGACAATGTTACACTGAGTTGCATTTATCCAGGAAGAGAATTCAGCTTAGACAATCTGCGAGTATACTGGCAAATAGCTGATAATGAAGATACAGAGCCATGTTCAGTAGTGCATGCACTGATCTCTGGTCAAGACAATGAAAGTCTGCAGTGCAGTCAGTTTAAAAACAGGACTCAGTTATTATGGGATAAACTAGGAGATGGCAATTTTTCTCTACTACTATTTAATGTCAGACAGAGCGATGAACATACGTACCGATGTGTAGTGATGCAGACAGCTGAATATACCAAAGTGATTCACCAGGAGCAAGTGGTTCTAAGCCTGGCAGGTAAGAACTGTTACTGCTTGCACATGTTTGCCCAAATTCTAATTCTAATGGTTTCAGTTAGTGCCATTTTCATAGTGTCTTTAAGCAAGTACTAATGTTGGAAATATAACCTGGACTCAGTGATCTTTTATGGGTCCCTTCCACCTTGGGATATTCTGTATTCTACTTCAGTACTTTGCAGGAATTAAATTTACTTATTTTAAATGTTACAGATAGAGAATCTACAGTTGTAACAACCATTTATCCAGTGTTGTTCATTTGTTTCTTCTCAATTTGTTTGTCATTAATATGCCTTATAGTCATTATTCTGAAATTGATGAATATGTCATCAATATGCACTAGCAGATGACTGGATCACAGTAGTTCAGGAACTTGCTTTCATCCTTTGAAATTAGCATCAGCTTTCTGCCCTCCCAGCAGTTCTCACAGAACTTTGGCTTATGTACCAAGTCCACAAATGTTTTCCTTTCAAGTTGTGAGGGTTTCATGTATCCCAGCGCTTCTGATTCAGAATCCATGTCAAGATTCTCTCTTTCCAATACATCTCAAAGTTGTGACAACTATTTTCTTTCTCCTTTCTCTCCAGCTAGTTACAGCCAACCAATACTCAGTGGGCCTGTAAGAAACAGTTACAACACTGGAGAAGAGGTGACTTTCAGCTGCAGATCTGACAATGGATACCCCGAACCGAATGTTTATTGGATAAATAGAACAGACAACACACGCCTGTCTCAGTCAAGTTTTAATATCACCCAACATCCCGATGGCACTTACAGTGTTTTGAGCACACTGAAGGTTAAAGCAACTTCTGATATGCAAATAGAGTGCTTCATAGAAAATGAAATACTGCAGGAAAACACATCAGCCAACTGTAAGTTCCTCTATGACACCTCCTGTTTTCTAGATAGCAGATATATCAACCAGCGTGGATTTGTCTGTGAAGATCACTAACAAGGGGCATGAAAAAAAATGCAGTAGTTCCAAAAAAAAAAAAAAAAAACACTAAGAAAGTTCAGTTTTTCCCTCAGGCTTAGCTATAGAATTTATTCTTCAAAAATAAACATAGCACCCCATTGAGCATGTCATGACAATAGTACTGAGTAGCTCTATTTTTCAAGGCAGTCACTAGACTCTACCTTTGGGTTCCTTGCATTAGATTACTCTTCAGATGGTACCATGCAGTTGATCTGCAATACCTCAACTCTCTGTCTGATGGCTTTGTAGCACTCATATTTGCTTTGTGCTTTGTCTAGTTTTGAAGTTCTGCTTCCAGTCCCCAAAACTCAACTCAACTCAGTGCGCTGCTTAAAGTAGGCCTGTAGCTAACAGTTACCATTAACCCAATAGAACAACCCTCCTAATATCACAAATGCAATAGGCTATTTATAGCTGATATTAGTGACCAATAGTAGGAACACAAATATTTAGCCTCTATTTTTCACAAAATTTGAAAGCTATTAAAAAATAGAAGCTCTAAAAGAGTTACAGCTACAAGACCAATAGTGAATGTCACGGTCCCTAAGTAGCTATGGAGATAAGCTACTTGGAGTGGTAGAACTTCTCCTGAGGTGGCTCTTCAGTCTCCTTGGTCCTGGCTCCCACCACCTTCTTTCCCAGCTCTAACATGCCGTGTCCTGAGATTGACAGGAAGAATGAAAATGAAGAAGGTCACGTGTGCAATATGATGATGGGGGGGGATGAAGTGGCACTGTATGATTATATTAACAAATTGTCTAAGCTAGAGATGGGCTTTGCTCAAAAGGAATACCTTCATAACCACAGTGAGAGGAATAACACAAATAATTAGTCCCTCCCTTTTTTGTGTGTGTGCAAGACATAATCACATCATTGCCTGATATGAAATGAGCAAATTTACAACTTATTGCATCCTTTTTCTATGTGATTCTAGACACAGAGGAGATGCAAATCAATGGTTCCAGCACAGGAAGTCATAAAGAGCTGGCAAAAAGCGGACAAGGTGCTCAAGCAGCTGCAGTTGTGTCAGTTGTGATTCTGATGGCTTTTCTGACTGTGTTGATCTCCTGGCTGTGGAGACGGAGGTCCTCTCAACTAGTATCATACACAGGTAACGAGGCCCTTTATTTGTGTGACTAAATCTCCAGGGAAGACCTGGGTCAAGTGGGGTAAAGCTCTTGTCCAGCTCCTGCAGGAGCTGGTAGAGGCCACGTTCTTCCTTCAGAAACAGCCTATGAGTTGAGCTGGGCAACTCTTTTTCAAAACATGGAGCAGTGGAGTTCATGCCCAAAAATCTATCCTTGACGAAATGATGACCTAGACTGTAAGGAAATAGAGTATGGAGCTTATTTTGCTGTCCAAAGAGCATTTAGCAGATTGAACTCCCAGCTTTGGTGGATGTGGTTTAATATTAATCTTGACAGTGTAAAGATTTTGATTATCCTACACACTTAAAGCACTGTTTATTTCAACAGATGTTCAACAAAATGAAGACAGCAAAAAACTGTACTAGAAATATGTTACTGTATTTGACTCAAGAATGACTTAACATCATAGGTTCATCACTCATGTTGAGCTCAAGGCCTTCAGGTTAGATTTACTGAATTATATGAACTAAAGGACGTAAAGCAATGGCCATACCCATCTCTCAGCCCCTTCCTCAAACTCTGTAAGTGTTGCCAAAAGTGGCCTGAGTGTTCCACTTCCAGTAAAATGCTTCTTCCAGGTTTTGGGTAAAAGACACAAGCAGTGAGTAGGGACATTGAGCATGCAGGTGGAGCCACCTCCCCCTCAACGTTGTAACTGCTGTGCAGATACTGTGGCAAAACTTGACAAATTGTTTTAAATGCTGAATCCTCAAGCCTAGATAACAATGACCACTGACTATATCAATACCCAGGATAAAATGGTTGTTCCCTGTTTTCTTAGGTGTCACATCCTTGAAAGTCTTTTGCTCAGCTACACAGACAGATAATTTTCTTTATGTCTATGAACCTGAGCCTGTACACAGCCAATTAAAAATAAATAAATAAAGATTAAGCACTCATTTCCAAGGAAAAACAAGGTTCAGACCTTCAGCATTTTCATAATAAAGATGACAGCATGTTTAACGATTCATTATTTATAGCAGAGATAAAAAAAAAAAAAAAAAAAAAAAATTGAATGAAAAATCCAAAACATTTAGAAAAACAAACTCAGCACAGCCAACTTGTGAGTGCACAAAGGGCATGAAATATTTGTCTATTAATTTGGCAATTCTTGCTGAAGCAAATGACCATTGGCAGTCTTTACAGAACAGACACAAAATACTGTGGTTCTACCAAAGCTTGTAATATTTGAAACAATTGGAAGCATAGACTGCATTAGCAGATGCAGTGAATGCACCAATTGATAATATCCAGCAGAAGCAAAATAACCCTTAAAAAGAAAAATGTCAAGAACTAACGTTGTAGTCATGCAAACTGGATCAATGGTCTGTTGTTTTCCAGACCTATCATGCAATCACAGTCTGATCCACAAAAGCTGTGTTTGCTAAATATCAACAGACACTGCACTGTGTCCCACAGAGATAATGTAGAAAGAAGGATAACTTTTAGCTCTTCAGATAAGAAACAATTTCTTCTTCATCCCTATGTGTTGCAATAGATAAATCCTAGCAGTTTATTATATATATAAATATCAAGCTTTTCCTCCTCTGACTTATACCAGGCCCTATGCAATTAGATTTCCGGGCTAGTTTCTTCCGTAACTAGAAGAAATCCTGTGACATAAATAAAAGTAAATATTTATTTTATATTGAAAGCTGCTATAGCAAAATTTGTTTAATAAAAACAAAACAAAGACGCCTTGCAAACATTGTATTTTCCTTGGCACAACTCTGCACCATTTGTGGAAGAGGAGGTGGGACAGCAGCTTTTATATCTTCTTACTATCAGAATCTGTCACACCTCCAATGGCAATTTTCCTCCAACAGAGCTGTGGAAAACACTGAAGGGAAGGGGTACTAAATCTTTTGGTCATCCCTAAGTTGGGGGCAACTTAGACCAAAACCAGAGAAATGAGGGTGATCCAGGGAATACGATCACTGATGAAAAAACTGGTTGTCCTTGCCTTTTCCACTCTAAACAAAAACATACAGACAAAATAAAAATCTTCTTTGGAGAGTCCTTACAGATGACAAGTTATTTACTGTCTTAACCCCATGGACAACATGTTTTCAGGGACAATGAGTTTAAACAAAGAAGATTTAAACTGCATGTTAGAAAAACAGCTTTTCTAAGGGAAACAGTTGAGCACTGCAACAGGCTATCAAGCCTCCATCAGCCCAGGCATGTTGTTGGCCTGTTGTTTTGTGGTTTTGTTTTTGTTTTTAACAACAAAGAAAACATGATAAATAGCCTAGAAATATCTGGTGCATCCCTGGAGCAAGAAGATTGTCTCTTGGAGAAATTCTGTCTCGATTCAACTGTCACCAGAGATTTTCAAGTGCATTGTGTGATAGGGAGTAAGGCACTGCAGAGGTTGCACCCACCAGGAAGCTCTGCCATGGCATTCTGCTTTTCAACACTCATATGTTTCTGCTCCTGGTGATTTGACTATGAAGATCTGATTTCTATGAGAGGTGGAATCTTGAATACCGCAAAAACAAGGATCACCTACTGAGGCTAGCTGCTGTTAGAAAGAAAAAGATTTTGGAAATGGGAGGAAGACAAGATGCAGAGAAGTGTAACTTCATCTCCATAGGATTTAGTTCTCCAGCTGTGCGTTGCAGTTGGTGGGGCAAGATGCTCCAACTCAGGAGAAATTCAGACCTGGATCCAAAACCCCTGTTCTGGACTGCTGTCCAGAGAGATCCCTCCACTGCCTGTAGAGCTGCCTCAGGAAGCTGGTTTCTTTTGACTACATATAGGCTACATATAGTGCATCTGATTTTTGGGAACCAAGTATGTGGAACCAAGAGTAGGACTTGATGATTCTTATGGGTTCCTACCAACTAGGGATATTCCATGATCTCTTTATCTGAGATTATCTTATAAGAAATCAAAAATGCCACCAGCACCCCGTTCTTATAGCTGAGCAGCTCATTCCATCAATTGTAAAGGAAAAATAACACTAGGAGATGATTATTTGTGTGGACTTTTGTTGTTTTTTTAACTTTTTTTTTTCCTAAAAATCAGTAATTTTGTTTTTACAGCACCTGTCTAATGGGAACATCTGCCAACAAGTCAGGCAGCTGGAGGTGCATCAAGAGGAGCATACCCCTTGTCTCAGCAGCAGCATTGCTTGTAATACAAGCGACAGGTTTGTGCAGAGTGTGCCAAGACTGATGTCAAGAAGCTTCTTCAACAGAAGAAAAACCAAAATCCATTGGATTCCTGTTCTGATCAGGAGCTGTGTCTCAACACCTGTAAACTTCTTCAGATGGTTTTCAGTGTTTTGAGCTCCTACGCTGGGGAAGAGCAGTGAGCCTCGCACTTAGCTACTCTGTTCTAGAGTCTCTCGTCATCACCGCTGAGGAATTCGTTTTGAGTACAAGTGGCCATGTTTCAGGAGCATGGGAAGTTCTGTTTCCTTCTCCTTTTGCTGACAGTGACTACTGAATGTGAAAAGGCAGCTAAAAATAAGGAGGAAAGGAAAACCAAAGGACTTTCTAGAAAGTGAGATGTGTAACTTTTTTCACATTTCGCTATCTACAGTACATTCTGTCATTGATTTCACCAGCTGCACGTTATTATGTACAGAATGAGCCAGACTATCTTGACCTGGTCCTAATAAAATAGGTTTTGCCATGACTGGGTTAAGCACTGAATGTGTGAACAAAGATAAATCTCCTTTAAAGGCACTTGATATTAAAATTTTATTCTTTACTGAATGTCTTACCAAAAAGGAGACTTCAACTTTCTACAGAAGCTGGTGCTTACTGTGTGAGAGACCAGCCTGTGGAAAACAGATTAAAAACAGTGCTCTCTCCTGTGTTGATGTAAGGTTACCTTGACATATCTCTGCCTGGATGAAACAAGAAATCCATACTCAGGCTCTGTTCAATTCAGCTTGCCTTTATTTAAGGCCAGCAGCACCCAGGGAGAGTTTGAACTGATTTTATTTTTTTTTAAATGCTTCTTCTTGTCTCATCCTTTCACCAAGGAAAAAGGAGTGCAAAGCAGTTCAATATGTTAACTATGAATGTTTTTGACGTGTTGATGGCTAAAGGAAAGAAAGGGAAGAAAAGTGAAGAACGGCATTTTCTTCCATGTGCCATCATCTGTGCCTTACTGGTTCAGCTCCAATTAAGCTGGAGCAAATAGATGAAGATAGCAAACAGTAAATGTGACTGATAGTCTAAAATTTTGGAGGAGAATAAATCAATATTAGTTCTTTTCTGTTGGGGTGGGTGGTGGTAATGATTTTAATACTGAGTCCTGGAAAAACTCCTGCAGCAGTTGCTAGACTAAAATTCTACTATTTCTGCAGTCACAGCCTTGTTTGCCCCAGCTCCACATAGAGAAGGCTGTCCAGTGTCAGCCATGAGTTAGGAAGTTTTTGTTTATTTGTTTTAAATCAAGATCAGCTTTCAAATCCCAGTGAAGCAAAAATAAATTATCTTTTTCTGCCTTTGTGCAAAACCCAGACCCATTTGGTGACACTTCTGTTGAAACAATACCCCTGTGGGCTCAGAGTTGGCTAACTGCACTGTCAGTATTATGTGGGAGTCTCATGGGCTCAGTTTTTATGACATTCAAGGGAAGGAAAAATACAGCTCTCACTTGATGCAATCTGAGCTCACTCCCCAGTTTGAGTAGGATAGAAAAATTTTTAAAAAGTCTAATCTGCAACTAAATAATTGTTCATGTCTCCTGTTTTGGCTGCAAGTAACTGTGTACGATAATGTTCTGAAGGCATTTTATCTATTCATGTTAGAAAAGCATTGTATATTTGTTAACTTTCAATGTCTGTGAAAGCTGTTCTTTTATTTATTAATTCCACTTTTGCCACATCTTGCATTCCTATTTACAACCGTAACACACCCTATCAGGTAGGACATTTAGCTCACGATATGTTTCAGATTAAGTAACTTACAGCATGTCAGTAATCTTAAGTGTCCACTTTTCCTCGTCTTACTTCTTGTCCATTAATCTAAGTGTTTGATATCTTCTGAGCCCATATTTAGTCTTCAGGCAAAATCTATCCAGTGTTTGCTGAAGACAGAATGCAAGCTCACAAACACATTTGAGATGTGACTGCCACCTGCACAGATGTGAAGGGCAACCATTTCCTGGTGGTTCAGTGAGCCATTTTCTCACTCTCTATCCTGTGAAGTTGTTTTGGGTAACCTCTTTAGCGCCACCGTAACTGACAGAAGCCTTCTATAAAAACAGTTTTCCTCCTTCATATTCTACCAGTACAAAAAACCATAGTGCTTCAGAAACGTAAGGGGTGACCTAGCAATCACTCCACAGTATGCTGTTTAGAAAATTTAGGACAGAGAAGTTCTTACTTCTGGCTTTACTTCATGATACATAGTGAATACATCTAAGAGCAACAGCTTGCTCTTGCAAAATCCATACTTTCAACTGATTTAAGTTTCCAGCTGTTTTTGGAGGCAAGAAAATCCTGGATGACAATTGTTTGTTACTTGGAAATTCTGTAATAACAGCTTGTCATCACATACTATGTTTATATTATAAATAAAAGCCTATTAATTCTTCTTTATGTTTCACTAAGTCTATCAGCACAATCAAGACAAGCTACAACACAGCGATGCCTCAGCCAGGGCAACAGTTTTACTGTCAACTGGACTCCTCTAGGCATTCAAGTCGTCCTTTCCAAAGCCCTCAGATGAGAAGGGACTGATGAAACACAGCTCTGCAAGCTTTTGCTACGTCTTGCTCTACACCTTGAACAAAACCTGGGCAGTAGCTCAAAAATAGCACAAAGCCTGGGCTGACACATGCTTTGCTCACCCACCTTAGGAACCCCTAACAGAGCAAAGGTACAATGATCACTCCCATTTCTAGAACCAAAACCCTCACTGCACCCAAGCTGCGTTGCACCTGAACATCAACATCATTTTGTTTCCTTCCATTAAAGATATCCGCACACATGAACCCTACTTCCCAAGCAACTTAAACACCTTGCAGAGAAAAGCATCACTTTTGCTGTGCTGTGGGAAGACTCAAAGAAATGGACTTTCAAAGAAAAGCGAAAGGTTTTCATTGTGGGATGGCTGGTAAACCACAAATGGAAAGCCCCGAGAGAAAACATACATTGCTACTGAGTGATCTAAATCCATCCTTAGAGTAGTTAGATTTTTTATTTAAATCTTTTAATTTGTGTGAGCTGAAAACTGAAAAATACTTTCCTTTTTTCCCCACTTCAACAACCATGTCTCTAGCCACTTTTACTCACTGGTCATGTTACATCAGAAAACCTTAGTACAAACTGCTTTTGCAAAATGCCAAAATGATTCTTCTCACATCTATGGCTATTAATTAATTAAAAAGACATGAAAGAAGGGAGACAAAAAGTCTGAGCTTCTCCCACAGCACTGTATCTCCCTTTAGAACAAGGCAAACACAAAGCACCTTTATCACTTTATATTGGACACATCATTATGCAGCCAGCTCAGATCAGTATGATGAAATATCAGCCATTTTGGGTGGAAGGGGCTGCCACTCACCATGTCAGGCTGCCCAGGCTCCCATCCAACCTGGCTTCGAGAGGCTCCGTATTAGCAAATCACTGATAGTTCCATTATAGACACTGTCTTTTTGAAGCTTTTTGAAGCTCCTTCACTTTCCACGTGTATTCTGATGTTTCTGTATCCACCTGGCACTAGCTGAAGCTCAGGAGGTTGCTCTCTGATTAGAAATACATTACTGAATTCTCTTATCAGAATTATGAGGAAAATTCAGCCCTGTCATGGTTGCCAATCTTCTGAACCAGTCAAGAGATCTGGCCACTGGGCAGAAACATATAGTCCCTTCTGGTGAAATTTACTGATTCTTTCTGTATAAAGTGGCCAGGAACCAGCACTCCAGGAAGATCTCATAGACTCCTGGCATCATCAGACACAACTGTTTAACTTCGGGGTTTTGTTTGTGTTTAGTGGATTTAAATGCTCAGCCCATTCATGAGGCAGATCTGCCTGCTAAACTGCTGCTCATGCTCATGGAACAGCTTTATCCAGCTGAGAGCTGGAAGAATAAAGAGAGGGGGAAAAAAAGCCTTCATCTGCACCAGCCCAGTGAAACTTCACCATGCAGTGTGGGAATGTTTACTTTATAGAACAAAGTAGGCCTTCAGCAGAGCTCTTATGAACAAGCATATCATCTATCTGGCTGGAGTCACCAACCACAAGAACCATCAGGCACAAAGAAAGCAAGCCAGTGCCTTTTGTGAGCGTTTTTGGCAAAGAAGCAACCGCTGACAAGATTCAGACAGTGTGTTTTAAGTTCACTTTTGAGCAATTCCTATCAAGCCATAACGTAGCTGGATGGAAAATTATTTCTAAATGAACAAACATTCAAACGAACAGTTCCTCAGAAACAGAAAATTCGGCAAAAGAAAAGGTGATTGACCACTAAGCCCTGAGGCTATGTTTACTGCGTCAGTAGGCCTTCTGCCCTGGGAAAGGAAAGATCATTCATGTGTTACCTACTTTCCCTGGGAAGACCCAGTTTTTGCAATAAAACTTGCCTGTCCCCATGCTGAACTCCTAGTAGCCCCACAGAATCCTAGACATAGAGGTGTGCCCCTACCCACATGCTTCTCAGAAGCCTTTGGGGGTAGCCATGGAAGGAAGGAATTTATTTTAAAAAAAAAAATAGTCTCTGAGCAGGAGGAGATCACTGAGAATGAGAGGCAATGGTCTCAAAGTGCACCAGAGGGGGTTTCAGTCGGGTATTAGCAAAAAATTCTTCTCAGAAAGAGTGGTGAGGCAGTGGCACAGGCTGCCCAGGGAGGTGGTGCAGTCACCGTCCCTGGAGGTGTTGAAGAGCCGTGTGGATGTGGCACTGAGGGACGTGGGCAGTGGGCATGGCGTGGGTGGGCTGATGGTTGGACTGGGTGATTTTAGAGGTCTTTTCCAGCCTTCTATGGTTGTGCATCCAGACAGATCCCAGGCAGGAATTCTGTTGCAAAGCTGGAAATGGATCCTTATCCCCTCTTATGATGGTCTAGCTTTAAAGCCCAGGACACTTATAAATTGCCTACAATGTTTTACACTGTGTAATAAAGTCTTAATCACTGCACACGCAGATGCTGGGAAGGGATAAATCAGTCAGCCTGTAGACAACAAATAACCATAACATTTATCTTTTGGCTGGAAACTCCATGCAACCAGTCAGCATAATTGCACAAAGGTAAGAACAGGATAAGAATAGAAAAAAAAAATGGAATAGTTAAGGACCTTCAGAGATCAAGTCCAGCTGCCTGATCACTTTAGGGCTAACCAAGATTTAAAGCATATTTTTAAGGCATTACTCAGATGCCCCTTGAAAACTGACTTCATGGGGCATCAACCATCCTGGTAGGAAGCCTGTTCCAGTGTTTGATCGCCTTCAGGGAAAAGATGTTTCTCCCAGCAGTCAGTCTGATCCTCCACTGGTGCAGTTCAGTGCCATTTTCATGTGTTGTATCACAGCTTGCAAGGAAGGGGCAGAGTCTAACTTTTCCCTTTTCTTCCCCTCCTAAGGGAGCTGCAGAAAGCAATGAGGCCTCCTTTTCTCCAGATGGGACACTTCAGCCTGTCCCCTCAAGAAATAACAAGAATTAAGCCCTTCTTACCAGTCCTGCTGCCCTTCTGTGGAAGTATTCTGTGACCTTAACAATACTCAAAGTGAGGCCACATCAATGCTAAACACGGTGGGATAATTAACTCTTTTGACTGGCAAACAAGCTGATGTCCTCCAGCCAGCACTTAACATTATTTTCTGTATTCCTAGTTTGTGAGATACGCTTTCCCTATTTTCAACTTCAGTTCCTTTTGACTTACACAGATGAGTTAAAACCAAAGCCTTTTAGAACATTCATACGACAATGATTACATAATCAATGATTGTGATTAGAGCTGAGGCACATTCCTACACTAAGTAGTATGGAAATATTGTAATTTGCTACTTTTGCCCTTTGTAAATACGTAAATTAATGCTCCATATACACACACTTAAATTTCTGTGATTAAACAAACTTATATCGCATTTGATTCCATTATATGTAAACACATTTACCTCTTAGTAAAATGTTCCTTGCAGTGTTGGAACAGTTTGTTTTTATTTTCCTTCTTGTCATGCTTGCTTTTCTTATAGGAGATCGGGGAAGGTAAATGCAATGGAGCAGCATACTAAATGAAGGTCAGATTTTGCAAGATGAACAATACAGCTCCTGCAGCAAACATCTGTCCTCATCTGAGCAATAGAACTGGCATAGACCAAGCACAAACACTACTCCAACGCCACTGCTTTGTTCAGACATTTTACTTTCAAGGGAGGACAGAGCTGAACAATATTCCCACACTGCACCTTCCCCCAGACAAGTCAAAGCCAGCACTGCTATTCATCGTCAAAACAAGTTCTCCTTGTGTCTCTTTGATGACACTCCCTGTGAGTTGGCAAAAAAGCAGCAAGTTAAACAAGTAGACATCAGAGCCTGCTTGAACATTCACACTAACAAGAAATTGTGATTCCTCTTTTCAAATCTAGCTAACATTGATGCTTCTCATAGGCAGAGGCCAGTGTGCACTGGAGAAGTATTTCTTCAGGATTATCCCATTACAAATTGTTTGCTCAGTGCCATACTGAATGTGCACATTGCAAACCCAAAAAAGAAGTCTATAGGAGGAGGGTCATGCACAGAGAGCTGTTCCCTTGCATGCAACTGTTTCATTGCTTGTGCTTAAAAGCACGTGCATCAGATTTGGCAAAAGTCACACAAGACACCACACAGCTTACTTAGTGTTGCATTGACCAAGTTTGAAGCAGGTTGCAGTTGGATTTCACAGCTTCTCTGCCATGTCAAAATGAAAGACTCCAATCAACTATTCTGATTGCTCTTAAGGACTGCTGATAACATTACAATGGCTGCACTGAAATTCCAACAGACTTCTGTCCCCCTGACGGAGAGCTCAGGGCAGGCATTCAGAGCATATAGAGTTACCAAGCCAGAGAAGAAACCAGTTACATTCCCAATTATTTCATTACATATAGCCATAAATAAGGTTGGAAGGTGACAGACATGACAGCAGGTAGGTTTTCACCCCGAGCTCACTCAGCTCCTGCCTATCTAACCAAGCAGGCAAAGTCACATCCCACTTGAGCAGGGAGGAAAACAGAGATACCTGCAGCAATATACACATTCAACTTCCCAGTGCTCCTTTCTCTTTTCTAAGAAATCTCAGAAGCAAATAAAACCACAAACGCACTCATAGAAATAGCAAGAATTGCTGAGCATTTGGCATCCTGAACACACAGGCAGCCATCCACATCAACATCTTCTGACACAAGAGCAGAAGTGACCTCAGAAGTACAAGCAGCTCATCAGTCAGCCCAGAAACTTTGTCCCTTAGGAGATCAGGCTGACAAAATAGGAAGAGATCAACTTTGCTCTCATTCCTTTCTCACAGTCAGGCTCAATTTCTGCTTGAACATTCAGGTCATCAGGCCTCAGCCATGTATGTGTTCATGCCACATGTTTGTTATTGTCAGGACAT